TACGGAGAGAAGGTTTTAGTCACGCGGGAACCTTGGGCGTGGCCCATGTACTAATTGTTTTAAATCGTTTTATTATGTTTTATTGCACTGAGTGCCATATTGTTGTAAGTTGCCCTGAGCCCGCATGCGGGGAGGGCAGGGTATAAATAAAATAAATAAATAAATAAATAATTTAAAAAAATCATTCTGGAGGTGCTTCCTTCAACGGGAACCACAATGGCCCTTTGTTTGGTGTGCCCTTTGCTGCAAATTCAACAAGCCAGTTGCAGATGATTAAGAGAGCTTGGTACATCGCTGAGGCTGAATCGGCACACGAGCAAACAGTTTATCATAGCCTGTTCCCAGCAGTGGTAATCCAATTTCTGTTATTTTTTTTAATATATATATACAGAGAAAGTGGGAGAGAGCTGCCATACATCAATCTGATAAAGATGTTTAAATAATGGGTGCTTTTTTGGTGATTATGTCAGTTTTATAGCAGCGTTATAGAAACATGACAGGGAAGCCAAAATCTGATTACGCTTAAATCCTGGCCCATTATGTGATTATTACGAGACACAGCACAGTAGGAGTTACATCGTTATGACAGAAGGGATTTCCAGTATAATTAGATCAGATTGGCAGCAGCAAAGAAATCAGGGCATAACATTACAGTGGCTTTCCTGTAAATGCCAGTAGCCCCGACTTCCCGTCAACGTACACCTGGTAGGTGTAAATTTTCGACTCCTCCTAAGGTCCCTTGAGAAGCCTCTGCTATTTTTCTCTCTTTCCTATTGAGCTGGAGGATTCTGGGGCTTCTTTGGCTGCCGCAGGTGAGGCTCCGAGCTCAATTTTAAGGCACCGAAAGCCTGGCACAGACTGGAAAGGCACTGGTTATCTCGGGAGGTGCTTCTCTCTTCACATTATAAAAACATCAAAAATGGCCTTGCTTGGTGAATGTTGTCGCCGAAAGGAACGGGTCCTTCACATTAGTGATCCTAGGGTTCTGGAACAGTCTATTGGATAACGAGAGGACAGCTGCACATATTTATGGGCCCTTAGGCACTGAGCATCAGTGGGCCCACATCAGTTCCCTTTTGCCTCCCTGCCCATTTATTTTTATTTTTATTTGATCTGATTTGTATCCTGCCCCCCCCCCCCCCCCCGAGCAGGCTCAGGGCAGGTTCCATCAGACCAAATCAACAATCACATACATATGCAAATAACAGTTAAAACCTATTAAAATACATCAAAATTAAAATACAAATTATAATTTCCAGTACTCCTAACCGGAGCCTCGACAGATGAGGTCTACCCAGGGCTTTTTTTGTAGAAAAAGCCCAGCAGGAACTCATTAGCATAATAGGCCACACCCAGCAGCAGAAATTCATTTGCTTATTAGGACACACCCCTGACAGCACAGCTCATTAGCATATTAAGCTACACACCCCATGTTCGCAGAAGTGTGGTCATCCAGCCACACCCACCTTTTGCTTCTTATTCTGTTTACCTTGTTTGTTGCCAAAACCCAGGGCTTTTTTGTAGCAGGAACTCCTTTGCATGTTAGGCCACACACCCCTAATTGTAGCCAGTCCTAATGAGTTTCTGCTGTTGGGTGTGGCCTATTATGCTAATGAGTTCCTGCTGGGGGTAGCCAATTTGGGAGCCAGCCGGAACTCCGTTCCTGTGCGTTCCTGCCCAAAAATAGCCCTGGGTCTACCACAGATTGGGGTCCCAGATGGTTACTCAGATCTGGGTCATTGGAGGGGAGGCCCAATAAAGTGTGGACTCCCGCCGCCTCAGCTAACAGCCTGGCGGAAGAGCTCTGTCTTACAGGCCCTGTGGAACTGTAAAAGGTCCCACAGGACCCTGATCTCATACGGGAGCTCATTCCACCAGATAGGGGCCAGGGCTTGAGGTGATGCTGGTTAGAAGGGTGATGTGGTGGAGGGAGTAGACCCCCTGGTTTTGGATGGAATGGGCATTTGCAAAGTAGGTTAAGAACTTGGGGAGTAACCGTGGACCCTGCCTTGCTATTTGAAAAGTGGTGTGGTGTGGTGGCCCAGAGTGCTTGCTATCAGCTGCATTTGGTTCACCAACTCTTCACTTTCTTAAACTCAGATGACCTGGCCACACTAATCAGTTATTTTGTAACATCATGGTTAGAGTGCTGTAAAATATTGCACATGGGACTGCCCTTGAAGATAACCCAGAAACTGTAAAGACATCCGAATGCAGCAGTATGATAATTACTAGAGACTAGGTTATGAAAACCTATCTTGCCTATTTTGAACTAGCAGCATGGGCTGTCAGTTTGGTTCCAAGTTCAGCTCAGGGACTTGTTATGTACATTACCCTTTGTGGCCTGGGACACATATATCTGTAGGAATGTATGTATCCCTGCACCAATTATGGTCCTCTAGCTGTCACCTTCTGCTTGTTTCCCCAGTTAGGATTGCCCACGTGTCACCCATCAGGGCCTGTTCCTTTTCAACCGTGGCTTCCACTTTGTGGAACAGGCTCCCTGAGCGGGTAAGGAAGGCACTATCCTTAAAAAATTTTGGGAGGCACTGTAAAGCCTTTTTTTTATTGGCTAGGGCAGAGGTCCAGTCACAGTTTCCCAATGTAAAGAGTAGCATGGCCCTGAGGGAAAACATATGGGCTGTGGCCCATATCATAAACCGTTTGAACAATACCTTTTAAGTGCCATACCTTAAAGCCATTAAGGGTCTAAACAGACTGATGCTAGGAAATCCATGGTTAGATCCTCCTCCCTGTGTTTTATGAAATGCCAATATCAGGTGCCTAGGAGGCCTGATTTGGACTGAGGCTACCTGGGCAGGGGGAGCGGACTTAACACTTTCCTCTATGTACTTTTCTCAATCAAAACCACATTCCTAGGGAGAAACAAGTTATAAAATGGGAAAGAAGACAGGATGAAGATAGGCTGCCCATCTTTTTTTTCTTACTAGGACTGGACATGGGTGGAGGTGGTTTTACCTGGAAAACTGAAGAAGATGGAAGAGCTGAATGTACCCCTCTCCACAAATAGCCCAAATTTAAATTGGGTCCTTGCATATAAAAGCCAGTCATATAAACCACCCAGGGTAGGGAAGGCGGCATGGTATAGACCGATCTCATCAGATCTTGGAAGCTAAGCAGGGTCGGAGCTTGGAAGAGAGGCCTGCTTCTTGAAAGCCCCTTGCTGGGGTCACCATAAGTCGGCTGTGGCTTGACAGCACTTCACACACACACAAAACCACCCAGGAGTCTGTGGCCACCAAGAATGTTGTGTTACTTGCTCATCATAGCTAGGGTTGCCACCTCTGGGCTGGGAAATTCCAGGAGATTTGGGGGTGGAGCCTTGAGAGGGCAAGATTTGGGGACAGCAGGGACCTCAGCAGAGTATAATACAATAGCATCCACCCTCCTAAGCAGCCGTTTTCTCCAAGGGAAATGATTTCTATAGTCTGGAAATCAGTTGTAATTCAGGAGATCTCCAGGCCCTGCCCGATGGCTAGCAACCTTAGTCTCAGCCACCCAACATTTTTAGTTTCCCCCGTTACTGAGCCTAAATTTTTTTTTTTGGTCAAATCTCCTATCTCAGAGGACCTGGTTGGCCACCATGTGAGACAGGATGCTGGAGTAGGTGGAGTAGTCGTCTGATCCAGCAGGGCTCTTCTTACGTTCTTATGTTCTTACCTCTAGTGCTGTTTGGAACTGTCCTGCTGCCATGGCGTACTTCTTTTGCCGGTAGCAGGTGCTGGCATCCTTTAAGGCCACCTGGAGCCACTTCTCCACCTGGGGCAGGATGTTCATGTCAGGCAGCCTCAGGGAATCTGCGCTTAAAGTTTCTGGAAATTTTGGTTGTGCACTGGTGGTGGCTTGAGACTCCAGAAATTCATAGGTGACATCCCCTTCGTCAAAGTAGACCAACTTCATTTCCACTTCCATGAGGCTTTTTAGAGGGATGTGGGAGAGAAGCAGAAGGACAGCCTGGTTTTCCGGCTCCACCTGGCGTGCCTCTTTTCTCAGAGCTGGCCTTTCGTCACTCTCTGACTTTCGTTTAAGGCCCTGCCTGTCGAAATCATTGCCTTGCTTTTCCTTGACGTTCTTTCCTGCTTTTAGTTTCTCCATTACATTTTCCACAGCTGCTCCCCCAGAGGGGCTTTTAACCTCTTGCAAAGCTTCCGGAATATCATTCTGTCGGTGCGCCTCAGTAGCCGTCTCCTCAAGGCACTCTTTGTTCGTGATGTTCTCAAAACCTGTGTTGTTTGTGGATTCCATGACTCATAAACAAGGCCAAGCTCAAATTTCCTAGGAGAAAAAAGTTGGGAAAGTTTACACTTCTGGTGTGTGTATATGTATGTACATGTGTGTAAGAGAGAGATAAACAATGCAAAGCAAATATTTTATTCTGCTTGCCAACTGCTGGCTCCATTTGAAGTGAACAATCAGGTATAGTTAGCAAAGTGCAGGGTACTTTTAAAAATGAGACTGCAGAAGAGACTGCAGAGTTATTTCCTCTTTTATATGTAGCGAAATAAGCACAGCTATTGTACGGTGTATTGTGAAAAGTTATTTTTTGTTCTACTATTGACTCCTGTGTCTTACAGTAATGGCCTCCTCACTCCTGGCACTCACTAGGGTTTTCTTTTACATTTTTTTTTCTGTTTCTGATTTTTCAGGTTAGCAAATGCATGTGGTGGTGTAGTTAAAGCATTGGTTTCAGAAGATGGAGACCCAGGTTCAAATCCAACCATGAAGTGTATGGAGTTTTGAGGAATATGGCGGATGCTTCCACACTGGGTTCTACCTCAAAAATATCGTTACTGAACAGCTTTAGTAAGTTATCTGTTAGCCTAACCTACCTTGCTGGATTGCCATGAAAAACATGTAAGATAACCCCTGATGTACAGCACCACGACGTCCTGGTAGAAGTGGCAGGATAGAAATGTAATTTGTGTATTTGAACGCAGAGGCTTACACAAATCATGTAAAATATAATGTATACAAAGAGGGGAGAGAATAGTTCAGTCACTATTACCGCTACTGTGGTATGATCTGAAGGCCCATGAAACATCGACTTTTCTGGAGCTTAGTGATTCCAAGTCTAATCCATGCTTTGGTGGGGGACCTCCTGTAAGCTGCCTTAAATTCCATGATGGAAGGAAGATGGAAATATCACAAACAAACCAACAAAACTATGAAGGTGGGCAAATGAAACAGCCATGGTCAATGCTCCCTCTTAGCTGTGGAGTCTGATGAGCAAAAATTCTACTTTGTGAGCTACTGGCATTAAAGTTGTGAGCGAGCAATTTGGCTGCTGCAGGAATCAGTTTGCTCTGGAGCCATCCTTCCTGAGCGAAGACAAAAATGTGTGAGCCGGGGGCTAAAAAACTGTGAGCTAGCTCACAGTAACTCAGCTTAGAGGGAACACTGGCCATGGTATAGGTATCTCCATCTTGACCACTTTGGCTGTAGAGTTACCAGGGCAATGCAGGAAGTGACCATACCAATTGGTTCCCACTCACTAAGGTTATGTTAAAACAAGTGTGCAGTTCACAGTCTTTAAGATAGGAAGAACAGTGCTGGTTATTGGTCATAGAGTGGTTGAGTACGAAAGAATATTCTGTATCTGGCCTCTCACAAAGAAGTTTGTACCACAAGGCCTCAAGAAGTTTGCACCACAAGGCAACATACCTATTCCACCATAACATAACGGCAACATACCTAGTCCACCATTTTGAACATAACCTCATACAGAGAGTGAGTACTCTACTGACAAGCTGCACTTGTAATATACTCTGTATGTTATAAAAGAGATAAAGCCAAGTGAGTGGCTGTCATGACATCTTGTAACAGTAAGTGCTAGAAGCTAATTATTCAGTCCGCTAGGAGTGAGAGCAGTGGCCAGTGTCTCTCTGATGAGCTTTTGTTGCACATTGATGGAGGGCCACCTACATGAAAACATTTTGAAACCTTAGCTTGTGGGTTCTGCGGGGCAGAACTTGGAATGAATCTTGCAATAATTTAAAAGAAATAAAACATTTTTACTTTTCACTTAACATAAGATAACAAAAACATAGATCTTAGTAACACAATAGGTAAAGGTAAAGGTTCCCTTGGTCGAAAGCCAGTCGAATCCGACTCTAGGTTGCGGTGCTCATCTCCGTTTCAAAGCCGAAGAGCCAGCGCTGTCCGAAGACGTTTCCGTAGTCATGTGGCCGGCATGACTAAACACCAAGGCACACAGAATGCTATTACCTTCCCACCGAAGTGGTACCTATTTATCTACTTGCAATTTCTTGCTTTCGAACTGCTAGGTTGGCAGGAGCTGGAACTAGAGATGGGAGCTCACTCCATCATGCGGCACCCGGGTCTCGAGCTGCTGAACTACCGACCTTCCAGAGCCTGCTGTTCAGCATCTTAACCACTTGAGCCACCGCAGCTCAATAGAACACAACACAATAGAACAGTCAAATCAATTAACTTTTCCCTCCTTCACAGCTTGTTGACCCCAAAATCCATCTATTTCCTCTTGTTGGTGACCCAAGAAGTCTCCAGCTGAACATTCTGTGCACCGACTTCCAAGATGAAGGTCCCAAATGAACTCCCCATTAGATAACACAGACCTTAAGGTGTTAAGAGCCTATGATTAAGTTCAAGCTCCCCAGCAGGGCAGTCTTGCTTCACTCCTTTGCTTTCCACCAGGTCTGCACCCTTCTGCATCTAGAGGCTCCACTAGGGCTGCCAAATCCCTCCGGGGGGCGGATTTCCCCCCGCTTTGGAGGTCCGATTTCTGCCCCCGCGGAATCGGCCCCCGGGGGAAACCCCACCCCCACGTGCACATCACAGGAAAGTGATGTTGAGACGCCGGGCACATTGGGGGCGGGGCACAGCCATTTGAGGGGAAAGCTCTATGTTTTCCCCTCAAATGGCTGTGCCCTGCCCCCAGCGTCCCCGGCGTCATGACGTCACTTCCCTGTGACGTGCATGCTGCTGGGAGCCAGCACAAAGTCCCCCGCTGGCAGAGGTAAGTCAATTTGGCAACCCTAGGCTCCACCCCTTCCTGGCTCATTCCGTTCCTAGGGAGGGGTGACAATTTCAACATTTCAAAATTGAAACCAAACAGAACAAAAAAGTCTGCACCCATTAGAAAACAACAGTAGAGGGAGAGAGGTGAATCTCCCTAGGGAGAGAGCTCCAAAGTTTTGGTGCCACAACCGAGAAGGTGATTTCTTGGGTTGCCACACACAACTAACTTCATATGGCAGATTTTTTGGTGAGAAGATTTGCCGGGCACGTTTCATGGCATCCCACTACTACTTGATAGAGTGATAGGAACATTGTTGGTTCAGCCACAGTTGTGTAAAATGGGACTTTCGGAGAGAAGGAGGGACCACTTCTTTCTCTTCTTCCCATAAAATTACTGACTGGTACAGATAAATCCTGAAAAGATTATTTATAACTAACACTACAAATCCTGATCATCCTGTCGGTATAAATCTCCACAGAAAGAAATGTCTTAGTCCTCACCAAGAAATGGAACTAGGCCTAAGCTGGTTGGTCTTAATAAGATCACTGCCTTACCATCCCTGTACGAAGTTTTTCCAGTAATATGCAACTTATCCACTTGAATGATAATTGGCTTGCCAATTATGAACACCATTGTTGAATGTTTTTTCTAAAATTGTGGGATGGGGCAGGGAAGGAGGCAACCGGCTGAGCCTGCTGGGAGGTTAGGGAGGTGGCTCCAGGCTAGGCCAAGTGCAGTCCAGGGCTTGTTCTTTCCCCCGCCCTCCCTCACTTCTTTGGGGGGGGGGAGCAGGACCCTTTACAAGAGCCATTTTTTCCCACCCAGTCCAACCCTGACAATGGGTGTCCTTGGGGCATACCTGACATTTTTGAACTTAGCAACTCCTGATGTAACCCAAGGATCCATGGCATTTTTGTATAAAGACATTCTAACTTTTAAGAGTTTGACCCAGGTCCAGCAATTAAGGACAGGTTTGTTTACAAGTAACATTTTCTGGCCCTGACCTGGGGGGCCCAAGCAAGCCTGATCTTGTCAGATCTCGGAAGCTAAGCAAGGTTGGCCCCAGTCAGGACTTGGATGGGAGACCACCAAGAAAGTCCAGGATTGCTATGCAGAGCCCGTCAATGGCAAACTTCATGAGTTGGTCTCTTGCCTTGAAAGCCCTACGGGTGCAACTTGATGCCACTTTCCACCACCACCAATCTTCTGAGCATGTGCCACTTAACACTGGGTGACTAGCAGATGCAACATCTGCATGCATGCTTATAATAGATTTCAGTGGAAACAGTGTAGAAATTGGGACAAAGGAGCCTGAAGTACAATACAACTAATATGAGCCGAGGAAGTACATATATCAGGTCCCAAACACGGGGCATCATCTCTAAGCTTTACCTATGGATCGACACAACATTTGTGTGTATTTTTTTTAAATAACCATTCCCTCTCACCCTTTCCTTTCAATCTCTGTGCTTCACTGTTGAAATATGAACTGCAAATTCCTCCAGGCAGGGACCTATCTCCATTATATATAAAAGCAGAATGGTGGTGGCACTTCTCTAGAACATTCCACATGCTCCAGAATTGGTTGGCACCCTGGTGTGTCACTCAGAATCTGTCCCTATCCACTGGCTGCATTGCCTGAGTCTCGCCTCCAACACTCTAAATAGTTTGCTGTTCCTCTCCCCCCCATAGCCAGTCAGAACACAGAGGTTATTTGCATATGCAGCCTCATTGGCCTTTGCCTCGGAACACAGAGGTCGTTTGCATATGCAACTTGATTGGCTTTTGCCTCTAACATTCAAAACAGTTTGCTGTTCTGAGATAAAATGTGTCCAATCTCCAGGTGAGGGCTGGAGATCACTCAGAATTACAACTGCTTTCCAAATGGCAGAGATCAGTTCCCCTGGAGAAAATGGTGGACTCTGTATCCTTATATGCTGCTGAGGTGGCCCCCGTATGACAGCCAATGTGGTGTAGCAGTCAGGGCTTCAGAGCACGAGAGAGGCTGCAGGTGTGTGGGAAGTGGAAAGCTGAAGAGTGAGGGGGAAATAACGGTAGGTTGATGATTGGCTGGGAAGGAGATGGAGTTGCCAACTCCAGGTGGGACATTCCTGGAGATGTGAGGGATGGAGCCTGGAGAGGGTGAGGTTTCAGGAGGCATGGGACCTCGGACAGGTAAAAAGCCATAGACTCCACCCTCCAAACCAACCATTCCCTTCTGGGGAACCATTGTTGCCAATCTCCAGGT